AATTCAGTCACATTGTGTATGTCATCCATGAAGTCACTGCCAGGATGTAGTAATCTGAGTGAGGTAATCTGAAATAAGACAAAACAAGAAACTCTTTCATTCACAAAACAAGAGACTATTTCATGGCGTCTAGCTACCACTGCTGGCTCCTCTGAAAGTGAGATGAGTAGGTGAATTTTATAATAATCCATATCTTAGAAATTTGTGATATCAAAAAATTAGTAGGAGTTAGTCTTGTGTAGAAGAGAAGCGCAGTCTAAGAAAGTAGAAGAGCAAGTAAAAACTGTGAAAACATATCATGTGTGCTGGAGTAGAGAGGAGAATTGCAAATGATAAAGCTGGAGATGGAGTTGGGACCAGTTTATGAAAGGCTATTAATGGACCTTTGAGCATGTCCTGTGGATGATGGGGAATCGTGGAGAATGCTAGTCAACTAGAAAGTAAAATTTCATTGTAGGTAAGGGTTGGTGTAATGGAAACAGACTAAACCAAACTAAACTCACTGCCATCGATTTGATTCTGACTCATAGCAACCCCCACTGGGTTTCCAAGGCAGTAAATCTTTACAGAAGTAGAATGCCTCATCTTCCTTCTGTGGAGTGGCTGATGGGTTTGAACCACCAACCTTCTATTAGCAGTCAAATGCCTTAGGTACCATGCCACCAGAACTTATTATGGAAACAGACTAGAAAAGGATAAACCTGTTAGTAAGGTAATGCTCCATTGTACCATGTGGGACAGCCAGGGCAGCATTACTGTCTTCATTTTAGATGTCTTCCTATTGTCTTTGCATGTATTTAATTGTCTTTTCCTGCAGCTTTCCCTCATCCCCCTTCTCATGGCTTCCTTGGTTTGCAGATTAATATTCTTGGTATACATTGGTCTCTCTTACCTCTGCTTCTCCTCGTAATTCTCTCCTTCTATACTTGGCTACTTGAAGATTTTTCCCTTTCCAAAGGTATAAGTCAATCCCTACATAATTCTTCTCCTTACTGATGCCTTCATTTTTCCATACATATGCACCTCAGGA